ATCTAAAATTTGACCTTGAAAGGTCAACTTGAAAATTTGACCTCAGGTCAAGGTCATGACCTGACCGGAAAAGGTCATGTTGCATATCAGTCGATCTGCAACGTCAAGCCGAACACATCTAAGGCGTTTTCAGCGCTCTAGCACGCCTCTATCATAAGTTATTAGCGAAAAACTGTTAGATTCTGTTCGTGACTCCTGAGATGACCTCGGGGACATAACGAGGGGTCACAGTTGCCATTTTCCGGCTCAGTGTGTCAATTTTACCTACATCTCGATGTTTGAGAGTGTCTAGAATAGCGTTCGTGCAAAACAGACGCTTTTCAATTTTCTCCCATTGACTTACCTATACCTAATGGAGAGGCCGCAAAATTGACCTGACCTTAGGTCACCGATATCAAAATTCCGAGATATACATTTAATAGATAAGGTTGCTCTAATCCATCGCTGAAAGTTTCAAGGCAATCGATCAGTTGGTGTAGCTATGACGAGCATTCTTATTTTTTTCTAAGATGATGTCACTTGGCGTGACCTGGTGACCTGACCTAAGGCGACCTGGGTCTGAAATTTTCACAACATGTGCGGAAAAGATGCACAAACAGGTGTGCCAATCACGGCGGCGCGGAGCGCCTCCGTTTTTGAGATAGGTATCTGCGAAAAACCGCAGGGGGGGGGGGGGGGTGTCCAAACATCCCCCGACCAGGCGCGGGTTAAGGGTGGCTGCTATGGGGTTTTTCGGGGTGCTGATCACGAATATCATGTTAGTTTAGATCACAGATGATGTCTTCATGCACTTAGGCCAGGTCAGGTCAGGTCAGGTCAACCAGTAGGGGTCCTGCCGGGTATTCGTATTAGTTGTCGACCGCCTCTGACAGCTTCGTAACATGTTACGAAGGCACCAAAACTACTTCACAAATGTTCATATGGCTGCTTAATTCGAATTCAGCTCCAAAAACTGGCCTAGAAACATGTAAAACTCGAAAAAGTGAACCGAGTTCACCAAAGGTCAATGACCTGACCTGACCTTCAGATGACTTTGACATCCACCCTAATGCATGGGAGCAGCATCAAATCACATGTTTGAACGTTTGAAACCACGAAAAGACTGCAAACGCGTGGCTAAGTGCGAGCCAACATACGCCGAATCGCCAGCGCATATTTTAAGGCACTTACCTTACTGCGTCCCATTTTGGGACGCAGCTCACTCACCTTGGGACGTAGCCCCTGCTGATTTGACCCACTGCGTCCCTGCCCTGTGCCCTGTCCGGTTCCCTGACCTGTGCCCTGCTGTCTGCCCTGACCTGTACCCTTCCCTCTAAAATGTCCTGTGTCATGCCTGTAACCTGCCGTGCCCTACTTTCTGTCCTCCTCAGTACTTTACTCTGTTCCTTGCCCTGTGCCCTTAGTCGTAGCACGTGCCCTCTGCTCAACTTTGGGACGCAGTAAAAATTTGTTAAAATATGCCGTGCGAATCGCGGTTCCAGCCAAACATGGCCTCGAGAAATAGGTCACAGGTCAAAGGTCACTTGGGTCAGGGCCATGACAGTTTTAGAGTAGGTGTATAATTAATCACCTCTAGGGTACCTACTGAAAGTTTCGTTGCGATCGTCCGCTTTTTGCGCGAGCTATTCGCGAAAAACTATTGGGTGGTCCATCCGAGCCTCCCCCCCCTACACATGCTAGGGTTAAACCTAGGAGTCCAAGATTCATGACATCCAATTTAATTCAAGACTGTCTCCAATAAAGAGCTCGATGAGATTAGATCCCCATCGGCCATCAGGCCTTACAGGCCTCAAAATTTTGTATTGGTAAGGTAAGGACTAAGGATAAGCCTTTCAGCAAACCATGAGCTTCGCTCAGCGCTCTAAATCCACCCGACACTCGACAGGACGCTGCCCTGGCCCTCCCGCGCGTGAGAACTAACGCAGCGCAGGCGCCGCTTCTTGTTTTATGCAGTCCATCTCTATACAACTTTCTGTCACCTGATCTCCCGACATGTCCGTATCTGCTTGTAAACGCCACATAGCGTCATTTTTATTGGTTTTCTCATGATTTATCTATGCGGTGGACACTTATGTGATCTTAGCTGATTTTTATGTGAGACGTAATTGTTTCGCGCGTCGATTTAGCATGTTTTCTCCCTTTTACCAACACAAGTGACGCGACGCTCAGAATAGCCGGTATTACATCGGAGAGTGTGCATCGGAGAGTGTTTTAACTGTCAATACATACCTACATACATGCATACAAGGTAAGGTAAGGAGGAAAGATTTTATGGCGGGCGCAAAACATGCTTTTAATTAGATATTTTAGGTATGCATCCTCCTATTCTCGAAAGTCTAATGAGCCAGATGCGCCAATTAACTCGACACACAGACGGATGACCTGTGGAGGGCCACCATTTAGAAATTAGGTGATTTTTGGATGGAGGACATCGGATTGGTACCTCAGCCACTTTCTTCTACGGTTAGAAGTTAGTCTACTAGTACTACTAGTACTACTAGTAGTCTTCTACGGTTACCGTACCGTAGAAGACTACTAGTTTAGTCTAGTAGTCTTCTATACGGTCAGTCTAGAGTTATTTTCAGGATAGGTGCCAAAAGGCTGCCCTCGAGGGTATGCTAAATTTGGCGGCGCTATAGCGCCGCCAAATTTATGGAAAATGGACCCACTCGGTTTTTCACGAATAACTCACGGTCAAATCGGCTAAACAATTTTGTACATAGGTACTCTGAAAATTTCATCACTCTGAAGCAGATGACCTTTGAACCAGGGATGCGGAGCCGTGGAAATTTCAGACGGCTCCGGCTCCGGCTCCGGCTCCGGAGAAAAAAATCGACTCCGGCTCCGGCTCCGGCTCCGGGTGAAATGCCATGGCGGCTCCGGCTCCGGCTCCGGCTCCGAGTAAAATGATCCGGCTCCGGCGGCTCCGGCTCCGGCGGCTCCGGCTCCGGCGGCTCCGGCTCCGGCTTCTACTCAGTACATCCCCTATGCGATCAATTAAATACGGGTGGAAGAAAAAAGGCGATGGGATTGGTACACGTTGCTTCTGTATTTGTATAACAAGGCTATTTTGAATACCACATTGTTTTACGCCTTGTTCTGTCAAACCGAACTAGGTAAATAATTGTTTCCTCTTAAGAAAAGGAGCCGGAGTCGCCCCCTTTTTTGACGGCTCCGGCTCCGGCTCCGGCTCCGGGCTATATATTGTTTCACGGCTCCGGCTCCGGCTCCGGCTCCGGGCAAAATATGCCGGCTCCGGTGGCTCCGGCTCCGGCTCCGGCTCCGGCTCCGCATCCCTGCTTTGAACTGATGACCTGTTTCTCGAGACATGTCAGGCCGGAATTGCGATTCGGTGTAGGGCGCACATGTATTCGGTTCCAGTCTTTTTGTAAAAGGAATGTGCTAACATGTGAAATGATGCTTGTCTCTAAAACTTTGATGGATGTCAAGGTCACTTGAAGGCCGGTTCAAGGCAGTGGACCTTTGGTGGTAAGGTAAGGAGGAAAGATTTTATGGCGGGCGGAAAATATGTTTTTTATTAGGTATTTTGTGCATCCTCCTATTCTCGAACTTTGAATTGGAGACTTTGAATCTGAAACTTTGAATTGAACTTTGGTGACCTAGGGTGACTTTTTTCTTTCAAGTTTTACGTCTTCTTTAACATAGGTACGCATTTTATTAGCTTATGCATTTCAAATTTGGCGCCTATTTGAACATTTGAGAAATAAATAAATAAACGCCTATGAAACAGGCAACATGTTGCCAAGCTGTCAGTGGTGGTTGACACCTACTACGGATAGTGACATTGCCACCATGCGCCGTCTCATCACCTGCCCCGACGCTCCTGAGATGCTGCGCCGCCGAGTGTTGGCGCGGTCCGATGTGTCCTCTCGCCGCACACGCGCCAGTGAGAGCGGGCAGGCTGAGCTACCCCGAGTACGGACTGAGTTTGCCAAGCGCAGTTTCCTCTACCGTGCGGTGAAGGCTCTGAATGCTACGATGTAGCTGGAGCTCACCGATTGGGTGCGATTTTATAGCAACGGCCGTTTTTTACTGTCTCATTTATCGCCTTTTATCACACGAAGTGTATTGTATTGATGTGTTTTAACCATCACTTTTGTACTGACGTAGACGCTATATAATCCATGTTATGGAAGGTCTTAATACATTATCTATCTATCTATCTATCTATAGCCGGCGGAACGCCTACTGGTTATAACCGGACCTGACCTGACCCGACCTATCCCAATTGCATGAAATTAGTTTTGAACTGTTTGAACTGTTTAAACAATATGCAATTCGGAATCAGGACCTCGTAAACTAGAAAGTTATTATTTTCGCGACTTTTGGGCCATCGACCTGACCTGGAAGGTCAACCAATACCTACCCCATATGACATTTAACCCGCGCGGGGGTCGCGGGGGGGGGGACCCCCCTCTGCCCCTCTTGTATGCAGGTTAGCGGCTGGCATAACACCAATGCGGACGAGGGTTGAACGATGCCAGATCTTGAAAACATTCGCAGGATAATAGGCTTGGCTATTTTATTCTGTATCAATCCTACTAATAGGTGTCCACCACATGTCCATTGAGACCGACACTGACTTTAAACTAACTATGCTTCATGGTAAGTACATGCAAACCATATATATGGTTTATTATGTCGGCTGCTCCGTTTACATGACGCAGCAATATAGGGGATCATGAAGTAACCTTTTCATAGGTAGGTATGTATACTACAGCGCCGGGCACAAAAAGAAATGCTAGGCCCAAAACATGCCTATTCCCCGGTTGACAAATGACCAAGGAGTTGAGGTTTGATTGTACATGGAAACACATGTGTCTGATCCAAGTTCATGCATGTTTTCATGAACTAATGATGCACGTCTGGGCTACAAGTACATAGTAGGTATAGGTACAGTCAGTTGTCAGTCGCGTTTACACTACGTTTCATGTTCATTTTGTGCTCCTTCCCCGCCGGACTGTGACTGTTGACTCTTCGAATCGACCACATCATCCATTCATTGATACATCAGCATGACGACTTTTGGTGCGCCCATGGACCCTTCACCCTGGTGCGCCCACTGGTACATTTATGCACGTGGTCGTGGAAGGTATAATATATGTAGTTACATACATGGCCAACGCAACAGCTGCGTTTAGCTAAGATATCACTCGCGTTCATATTCATGAAAATATTATTTCGGTTACGTAGCAGATGTAACAAGCAGTCACAATGCAATGCACACTGTAGTTATATGCTACGATGTTATGACATATAAGCTCGATAGTCTGCATGTAAATATGTACGCTGACACGATAGACATCGCTTACTCAAGTGAAAAGTAGACAGTTTTATGCTAATTTAGTCAGTGACTCGGCTTGCAATTACACCACGTCGGTAATTGCACATTTTCTTAACATTGTATGGTACAAAGTATATATCTCGGCGTTGACCCAAGCGTGCACTTACAATCTGCTCCTAACCAGTGATCATAACATTTTGTAGGAACGCAGCCCGCGTTCCGCTGGCGTGGACCGATTCTGTCTTCCCACCATCTAATTTCCCAACGGATGGTAATCCAAAGACAAAGCAAACAGCACTCGATAGCTCTTACCGAGACATATTTGTATAAACACAAATAGTTTCCCTTGAGTAGGTTATAGCTAGGTCAGATCGGTGAGGTCCAGGGTCAAAATAACAGAATACCAACATTGAAGCCCAGTTCGCCAATGTTCGCTAAGCGCTTATACGACATTGTAGAAATACGGGAGAGACAAAAATCTTAAAGAACATTTACCTAATTATTTTCAGACAAGCGCAACAATGAACGTTTACTTATCCGGCGCAACGATAGCGACAGGACGCGTGCGACAGCGAGCACAGTTAAATATGCGAATTGTGACAACAAAACGGACTACTATGTGCTACATATCCAGCCCAGTGGTGGACCGATAGACCGCGCAGTACTCTGGGCGCCCATGCCCGCGTGCCGCAGAGGCACGTATCGCACTGCCGGGCGGACCCGTAGCGGCAGCCGTCAGCTGTCTGCCGGACCGAGCAGCTCGGCGGAGCTAGCCGTGGTGGCTGTGCCGGTGCTGCCTGGCCAGCTCCTCCATCTCCACCGGCAGGTGAGACGCCTCGTAGTCGGGGATGTTGTCCAGGCCCATGTCGGTCCAGAACAGCTGCGGCGGCCCCTCGCGGAAACAGTTGTTGGTGCTTAGAGCGCCATCTTTCGTCCAGTACATCACGTAGAAGTTGCACATCTCGTCGCGGCCGGTGTCGCTGCAATAGGAAACGAGGGGCGGTCGGTGGTCGGTGAATGGTGATTGAAAAGGACGCGTGCTGCAATGGCGCCATATGCAATGTGCATGTGGTGATCCTCCTTGCTTTTGCTCCAACGAAGGCGGACTTCGGACGGCCACCGGTAAGTAAAATTAAATTGCTATGAATTGTGAAGTGTAAGACGTCTCAGCTCTTCGTCTGGAGATGGTCAGGCGCATGGGTGGAGAACCTGCCCCGGCCACCCCGGCCGTGGCCGGGGTAACTTTCAGCCTACCCCGGCGCGGCCGGGGTAACTTTTCCACTCTTGTAAATCCTAGAAGCTGTCTCCAAACGAGAAAAGAAAACTCTTTCTTCAAATGTTCACTGCCATGGGCCGATGGGCGTAATATTGCAAATCAGGTAACTATTTGCTTAACATACCATAATCTTCAACCCCAGGACCCGCGTGTGGTCGCCAATGCTGCTCTCAAATCCGGTTCAGTTTCGAAAATTTGGCGCGTTTTCGGCGCACTTTTTCTGAAACAATGCTTGACCTCGCTGCCTTTGACTGGCCTGCCAGTGCCAAAGACCGCCATCATACCTGTTTATAAGCGTAGTCGTCAGGATGCTCAGAAACACCGAGCATCCGTTGCACGCTTCGAAATCGGACTGTTGTAACCGGGACGCGTACTCTTGCCACGCGGAGTCCAACGCTCTACCGACTGAGCTGCGAGACCGGGACAGGTCGATATTCCTGGATCGACTCCCTGTTTGTTTTATAGGAGGTTGAGCTGCCCAACATTGAAGAAGGCTGCGTAAGCGGTTTGCTTATGATGACCGTTGACAACAATGTGAGCATATTGTCTTCCCGACTATTGGTCGTCGGCCGGGGTAACTTTTTCAAACATTCTCCACCCATGGTCAGGCGGCTGGAGGACCGAACTTTGGCGCCTTACCTCACTCCACAGCCGGTGGTTTTCCGCCAATCATATATAATAAGCATCCCCTGATACTCTTCAATCACATGAACGCCGACCAATAATGCAGTACAGTATTTCTGAAATGGCCTGATCTGGCGACGATGCCCACGTAACGTAGGCTGAAATTTGAAATCTGATCCAGGGTCGCACTGAGACGCATTTTTTGTTCATTCAGCCGTACTGCGTGGGCCTTGGGGCGCTGGCGGGGGGTGGGGGGGGGGGGGGGGGTGGGGAGGGTGAGTGCGTGGCCTAGCGACCCGAACAGGCGGGTCAGTGACTCAGTCGTCGGTTGGAGATAGGAATCGTGGTAATGTGAGCGCACCGTATCCTTTTACTGTACTGCTTTAGGTACTGCTGTACTGGTGTACATACTTCCTGGCAGTGCCTTGTCGGAAACGTAAAGCGCGGTATTACGAAGCTTTTTTCGTTGCTATCTTGACGACACTAATTAGTTTGGCAACGAGGATCTGTCACACGTCAATCTCAGAGGTAAGATAAGCAGTTGAATATGGGGAAGCATGGACGATGGACCGATTGTGTGCGATCCCTCACCCCCGTGTCACATAGTCTTCCTGTATTAGTGTCAGTCTGTCTGCCTGTCTGCCTGTCTCTGGCTCTGTCTCTGTCGCCATCTTGTCGCCGTCACTTTAGCCGTCTCTGAAGTCTGACTCCGTCTCTATACTATCTCTCTTTGTATCCGTGTCCGTCTCCGGCTCTATCTGTCTCTATCTGTCTCTGTCTCTGTCTGTCCCCTATCTTCCCCCCCTCTCTCTCTCTCTCTCTCTCTCTCTCTCTCTCTCTCTCTCTCTCTCTCTCTCTCTCTCTCTCTCTCTCTCTCTCTCCCAGGCCAGTTCAGGTCACAAAAGGTCGCGGAAAATTTAACCCGCGCGCGCACCGACGGGGGTCCACGCCAACTTAGTTCCGAAGGAGGGGGGGGGGGGGGGGGTGGGAGGGCGGATATCCGCCCCCTGAGATATAGAGAACCAAGCAAAATAGCGACAAGCAGCGGTAAACGGCATGTGGTACACACGGACAAGGCCTACAATTTTTACTGAGGTCATTTTCAGGTCAGGTCAAAGACGTCACAGGGGTAAAAACGTCAAAGTAGCGGCGCTAGATATGCAGGGAGTTTTTCTGAAATAACTTTCGAAGTAACCAAGCTAGGAGCAAACTAATGGCACCATCGTGATCCTCTCGTCAATCCGCATCGAAGCATATGTATATATATGTTGACCTCGAAAGGTCAAGGTCAAAGGTTGCCCTCAAGTCACGTGACCTCAAGGTCATCCAGGTCCGAAAATGCCAAATGTTTATGGCGGAATATCAACAAAAAGTTTTCTATCTGATGCAGTTAAATCTCAGGAGTTCCACTGTGCTAGTTTTTTTTTTGTGTAGCGTATAAATTTACTAAGTTTTGTTTGTATTCTTGAAAATGATCAATATGCAGGTATCTAGTTTGGTTTCGTAGGCCTGGCCCGTATTCCTGTCGACGTGGTACGATCCGTTTTTATCGTACTATCGGTTTGGCATTCACGTTGGCCATCTAACTTCTAAACCTTCTATCGTACGATCGGTCTGGCTTTTCAGGATCTTTACTGAAAAGGCACTGAAGGTTCGCTTTTCTATCCCTAAAAGTTCGAGAGCCATCGCCAATATTCGCCAGGGGGAGGGGGGGGGGGAGCGAAAAACGATACTCCGGGCCCGCGAGGTTTAACTAATTACACGTTATAACTTTTTCATTTTTGAAGATATCAGTTTTAAACCTAAAAAGTTTCTCCTAATCCTCGCCCGGCGAGGGGATTGATGCAACCGGCTATCACCGTTTTTCCAAGAGACCCCCTAAACCTGTGGCGCACCATAAAAAAGAAGATAACGAGGCTTGAAATGATCTCACGCATGTCAAAGTGCTTTTATTTGGGGAATATTTGTTTCTGGTCCCTAAAAAGCTGTTTCTGGCACCTAATTGCTGATCAGCCCCAAAATGCTTATTCGACCCTAATATCTGAATCTGGCACCTAATTGCTTCCACCACACAGCCTAAAGTTGCCAGATCGTCTAGTTGAACTCCGTATTTGCTGTTTGCTGATTCAGCACCAAAACCAAAACATCCAGCACCTATTTTATTCCACGTTTGCCTACCTAATTCGCGTAATCTTCCTGATTTTATGTATCCTAACATGAACGTTGCATTCGGTGATGTCAAGTGCCATTTTCGCCAGTGGAGATAATGATTAATGCCATTTCTAGCCAAAAGAGAAACACTAGCCAGCTATGGTGCAGCGTAGCAAGACGCTCCCGACGCTCCTATACCAGCCCGCTATGTAGAGAAGAGATTATTGCACCCTCAGCCATTTTAACGTGAAAAGTTTGGATCCGTCACTTCCAGCCAGGCTCTCAGGTCATAAACTGGAGTAAAGCAAAATGTCAACTCTGAACAGACATGCCACGCAACCGGCCCTCTTTTCAATATTATTAGCTTTCTGCAATCATCGTCTGACTCCATCTCGATCAAAGGCAGCATCCGGTTTCTACAGGGGCGTTTGACTCACCGGCCACACAATAACCAAAAACAAAATCAAAGCTTCATGCACACATATGCCATACGTAAGAAACGGATGAAAAAGGCACAACCACGGCACAACTCTGCGCGGCAAACAACGGACAATGTCCCACGCAAGATCCCGCGTTTCTTCAGCGGCCTTGAACGGAATGAAAACATTACATTTCTTTTTTGGAGCTATTTGATGACGTCAAAAAATACAATACCCGTTTTAATGGTCAAAATCGAGACAATTACTCACAAAAATGTTTCCCTTTAAGCATTACAAATAAATACTTTTAAATATTTAAATGACATTGTTTTTTCAAACAAATTAATATTATTTGCTTACTTAAACGTCATATACAATGCTGAGATCACTACGGGGCTGTCTTAGAGTGTAGCTGCACTGGCAACCTTTAGGCTAGACTCCAGGGGTCATTATACCAGAACAACATGATTCTACCAGCCAGTAGTTCATTTTTCTACTAGATTGGTGCTACGCTCAGCATTTAGGTGCCAGATTCAGAAAAAAGAGTAAGGCGTACCGATGAATAGGTGCCAGAAACAGCTAATTAAGGTCATTTTCCATGATTGGTGCTGGTATCCACCAAATAGGTGCTGAGGACCAATTTTGGGGCGAGTCAGCTTTTAGGTGCCAGAAATAGCTTTTCTGGGACGCAATTAAATGGCGTCCCTTTTATTTTAGGCAAAATAAATATCTAAAACAGTAAAACAAGCTTTCGGCATTACGCCATCATCAAGTTTGAATAAATTAACATGTTTTTGATTTTCAAAAGCTAGAGCACAATCATATTGTTCCAGGCATCCTCATAGCAGCTCACTTTTTTAAACGTATTGCAATACGTTGCAAATAGTGTGGTACATTGCACATGGCAAGTAAATAATGTACAACAATGTATCATTACGTACGCTACAACATGACATGCACACAATATATCATAGGTACAACAAGGTCAATAAATCTCATCTCAACATCAGCCGCATACATCATCAACACCCGGTTGCAGTAAACATTGACATTATAATCATATTGAAAAACATTGCCGCTGTTCTTAGCTCGATTCCAGTCAACCAGTCGTGAGTCGGGCAAGTCAGTTAGGTGCATGTGTACGTGTGCGTGTGCGTGGTAGAGTAAACATGTGAAACAAAGGGTAGAGATAAGTGAGTGAGTGTATAAGTTTGTGAGAGAGTGAGTGAGTGAGAGAGTGAGTGTGTGAGTGAGTGAGGGGTGAGTGAATGAGAGAGAAGTGTGTGTGTGTGTGTGTGTGTGTGTGTGTGTGTGTGTGTGTGTGTGTGTGTGTGTGTGTGTGTGTGTGTGTGTTATGACCTATGGTTTACGAGCGAGGGGCCATGAGCTTTTCATCATGTTTAATGTGGGCCTTAGGTCTCTAATTTTGATGGATTCAGTGATTTTTAGTTCAGCAGAATCCCGTCCCCAACCGATTATATCAATAGTAAAGGCGGAGTTGATTTCAGTG